GCATTGAAGTAGCTGACAGAAACACGATCGTCCACGGTACGTTTATGATCGAGCTGTGAGCCCTGACGTACATTCGTGCCCAACTTTCTGCTTTTATTCTTTCCTTCTTCCCGTTTCCATTCCCTTTCCCTCTCCTCTTGCGCTTTCTCTTTTCCCTTTTACTTGATCTTTTTTTACCCTGTTTTTTTTCGCCCGTTTTCTATCGATATTTTCGAACGATACTCTTGTTAAATAACGATCTATCGTAACATTCGTAGTTTTTCTGAACGTCATACTAACAGTGGAAATGTTTCGTTTCTATTCCTCAGTGAACCGATCTTTGCCTCTGCCAAAGTGTCTTCCGACCTAGCAAATTCCTTCTCCTCTCCTCTTTCGCGTCATTCCAAATTTTTCAAATCTCAAAAGCCCAGTTCTCATCTATTCTTGCCGTTTATATGTAAGTTTAATTAATTTAAGAAAGATTGTTAATAATAGAAAACTATTAAAAATAAAACAATTAAATAAAATACAAAAATTAGATAACGCAATTTGCCTTGCGTTCATACGACTCAAGAACGAGTTTGATCTCTAACAAAGTATTCTCTCGTTTCCTAAGAAATAACAATCTACAGCCTCCGAACAGATCCATCGCAACCAACAAATTTTCTGCGCCATCCTTAATTTCTCACCTCATCGCGTAGCTTACGTCGTGAAACACAACGAAAACGCAGTTTCCGCGAGCGAACGACCGATATTCTAAACCTAACGGCTGTAACAACTCTGTCACGCACCATTAGCTCGCAATTTTCAGCTTCCTCCTTGAAACAAAGCAACGGAACTGGCGTCCCTGTTAATGGAATTCCGGACATTAGGAAATTGCAAACACGGTAACGACACTGTGTCGTCTAAAACGAATTCCGAAATTTTCTCCTTCACAATTTCTTTCATACTTTCAACGTCTTACATTAAAACGATCGTGCAATTTTATGTATCGAGTAAAATTGCCAGCCCTGGATTAATAATTTCGATCGATCGGATCGCATCGATAACTGGCATATATTAAAACTGGCATATATTATCAGGATAGTCAGAAGAAAATACGAGCGAAACGTCTTAAGAGGCAGAACCACATTACCTTGCTGCTGGATAAATATGTCTAGCTCGATCGAGCGATTACTATGTATCGTATTTGCTTGGTAAGTAGAACAGGATTGCGAGAAATACGCGATAAACTTGTTACAAAGTACTCGATCGTGTAGCGTAAGCGGTTCTCCCGTGTTCATCTGACTCTGATCCTGATCGATCGATGTTATTTGAAAAAAGATGAATATTCGTTCTGAAAATAATGTGCGATTTGCTATGATATAAATTAGAAATGCAAAAGCACGTTAGAAATGATAAAAATCAGTTTCTTATATAATTATATAGACTGGAAGTTGAAAAATAATCAGATTTACATTGTTGCAACGAGAAGATCCTCGAAGAAGGATTTTAAAAGTTACTAATTCTTTTTCGTTTTGAAATACCTATCAGATATCTTCGATGGAATAACTTTTGTATAACTATGAATGCAACTTACCTTTTGTGTGATTATGAATTTTAACAACGATGAAAAAACGTTATGATTGATATGAAAAATAAGACAAAAGGAAATTCGAATTCTCCTCGCTTCGAGTAATAAGGCAACGAAGCGTGAAATAAATTTTTATACTCACGATCAGGAGATGAAACATAACTTTTTCGATGCTCGAACGAGTCCAGGATTTATATTCATCGAACGTTCGATCCATTTAAATTCGTACAACATAGAACAAACGCAGTCAGGGCTGTTTAAGAATTCAGAAAAAGAACAGACATGATCCACTTTGAAGCTGCATGGATCGAGGATCCTCTAGATTCTTGATAAATAATGCCAATGATAAGTTGTCATCGGTACGAGGAAATAACCATCGCTTTCAGAAATTTTTGTTCGAAAGCAAAGAGAACAATTTAGTCGAAGACAAAAGGCTACAGCTAACGGTGAAACAGTAAAGCATCGAAACCGGTTATTGTATACTGGCTTTTGATGTGGATCGCACGATCTGGATAGGTCAGAACCTGCAGAAGAGGCAGATGGTCTTTTGTGTCAGTGTTTGCGTTAGTGTTTGTGATAGAGTAATGATAGGATGATTGCTATTCTTGAGAAGTAGACTCTATCTTTTCCATCATTTTGATTTCACTCGTATAATACGTAGCTTGAATATAAAATCTGCATATATATATATATGTTTCTTCGTTTCCAACAGATACAATTTAAATATAAAGTTACTTGCTTATTATCGCAAACCTTTCGAACATATTACATATTACGAACATATTACGAACTCCATGCTTCACTTTTAATGCAAAATTGATAACACCTGAACCTTCATAGGCAACCCTCGCATTTTGCCTGAATTGTTTCTCTATGGTCATTCGTTTTCCATATCGATTATACGAATAAGCTGTCGCCTTTCAAGCAGCCCCGTCTTTTATGCAGAAACCGCTTTTGAGAGTGGCGCGCGAGGTGATAAGCAATCACTCTGACGTCACGAGTAGAGAGAGAGAGAGAGAGAGAGAGAGAGAGAGAAGGAGAGAGAGGGTGAGAACGTTAGCTCTATCATTCGATGCCTTTATCGTGCATATCATTGTTGGAACCACTTGAAGGCGCGATGGTAAAGTGCATTTGCGTTTTTGTTATCGTCCTCGCTCGATGATATCTCGTGTACTTTGAAACGAGGGGAAAAACTTCGCTTACGTTTACCAGCTGAACAGAAAATAGAGTTCGAGCGAAGGGGGCGGGTAATTGATACAGAATCGATCGAGAAACAACAGACTGGAGAGCGTATTATTGTGGCAGGGAATGGAACCGGTGTTTACCTACCAGCAGACGCGTCATTGCTCCTCCAGTTACTCGTTAACAGGTGAAACGTCTTGCCGGCCCCTCGAGTCGTCTATTTGATGCTGTAATGAACAACAACTAATCTTCAAGTGACAGAGAATCTTCGTGATGAAAGTGAAAAATTTGCAAAATGATAATATTCCTACGTTTAACGAGTATAGTAACATTTTTATGATATTTACATACAACTAGACTGTCGATTTTGATTTAAAAAAAATTATAAAAAATGTAAAAATACAAAGATACATATATATATATAAAACATAATATAAAATATCCAAAGTAGAATATTTGTTGTAATATTTAATAAATGAAACAAGTTACTATTTGGATTCCATTCTTTTTTTTTTTTTTTTTTATTAGACTCATAAAAATATGAAATACAATAAAATGATAGGTTTGTCTATTGGTTATTAAATTCCATATCAGAGATAAACTATAAAAGTTTCATAAATAAAATGAAAACGATACTGATAGAATTGTTGAAAGTGAAAATGCATAGTGAGAGAAAGACCTTGCATAACGAGGTAGGCACAACCCTGACACATTTAAAATAATAGGTTTCCTCGTGCTTTCCACGTCGATCGTTCAATTTTCTATACCCATAGGAATATAGACTTTTCTCTCCCTTTTCTCGAAAACTTTTTTATGCATTATCATGGACGAGCATGACATGATAGGTATTCCTCGTTGACGTCAATCGCGACACCTGCGATTCTCCTGATTCATTTTATTATCCAATCAAATCATATCAACTTGTAGGATATAGAATCTGTCGACAAGGTTCATCTGCGAGGGTCTTCGTTTTCTCGGGAGGAGGATAGTGAAAAATGAAAGTTCCATTCTCTCACATATGCATCGAATGTGTTTGAAGTGTGAAATATGTATGTATTTTTGTAACGAAGTTGACGGAGAATATCGTTCGTCTCAGAATCTCGATGATTAAAAAATAGTTGTTTAAAAAATGCCTATTTTAAATTCCACTATTAACCAAACGCCGCGATGCAATAGTCGAAAAATAGAAATAAAATAATGTACATGTTGTTTCTAAGCCACTAAAGACTCATTAGATTTTTGGAGTCTTTTCAAAATTACAATATTATTATTATATTATTATAACGCACCGGACCATAATATAGCGTAGCGGCAGATTATTTTAAAAATTTCCTATTAATTTGAAAATGCCATATTTATGTTAATATAAATTACAGCAAATAAATTACAAATTTAACCCTTATATATTTTTTACGCAAGCGACTTACGTTTACCCTCCATAAATATAATATCCGAGACAGCAACTACCACCCACGTAAATCCACCGCAAGACTCTTTCACATTTTCTCTTCTGGAGTTAAATCTCGATCCCAATAACTCCGGACAATTAATTCCATTTCTGTCGAGCGACGACGAGCTCCCTGGGCACTTGAACTAGACCCCGTGGAAACGCGTCCTTAGTTTCCAGTGACCTTAACCGACAGATTGCTCGATTAGTACTTCACTTCCTAATCTTCATAATCAGATTATTAGGCAGACGCGTTACACTTTGAATTAGATACTGGGTTGGCTAGGTTAAGCTTACGGCTGATTTTCCAGACGCAAGGTAGCGATAACGGAGGAGGGGGGGGGGGGCGTATCCTTGCTAACACCCACGAAACACAACGTTTGGGTATCGTTTTTATGAGAAGTGTTACGAAATTCTCACGAATCGTGATTCTTGAAACGTGTATACGTGTACGTATTGTATGTTATAGGTATTAATTATTTATATAATTAGACAAACAGAAAGAAATTGGATAGTATATTAGGATGAGATGATTGACGTGTAGGCTTGTTTGATAAAAGAACGAGTGATGAATTTGTAATAACAAGATATATTGAAACAAGTATATGTATAGAGATAGTGTATATCTCAATACAATAATACCAAAATATTATATTTGCATGAAAGAATATTCTTGTGTAACTCTAGCTGAAGATTAGAAGAAACAGCAATAACAATCTAGACATTGTAACTCAAAACAACGTTAGTATTCAAGGGTACAATAATGTGGATCTATCTCTCCCAGCGTTGAATTTTTTCCGTTTCAATTTAAACTTTTTCTACGGCCATGGGCCGCTACATCTTCCCCCTTACCAGTGACAACACGTTTTAGGTAGATTTTACATACCAAGCTTATTCCATTGACTTATCTAAATTCTACCTGAACTCGCTCAGAAAAGCGGACTTTCTTGGCTGCCCGCGCGACGTTCTTATTTCTCGCAGTTTCCTCCTTCGTAATTGCCCGCCCTTCGTTTCGATCGTTTCGGATTTCCGGCAGGATTAACGCGCTGCGGATTTCGGTTCTGTCTTCGTGTTGTTGTTGGTGCTCGATGCTGTCTGGTACAACAAAAGCGAATTTTACACGGTTTATGGAAACTGTTACGTTTTTCTTATTCATTTCAATGATACAATTTTTACCTCCGCGTTGTTTATTGCTCGGGTTTGCGCATAAGTTGGCACCGGTGTCCACGTGGAAGGAGATCCTCGTACTCCTGTCTGTTACGGGGGATCTGCAGCGGCGGGATACTGAACCGTCTCGTTTCCTCTGGTTCCAGTTGCAAGGGGCACGGCAATTTCTTGCTTGGTCTCGAAAGGTCTCATGGTAGTAGCATAGCCTGTCCAGCTGGTCTCTTTTAGTGGAACGCGATCCGCGGGATATATCGTGCATCTCGTCGGCTACCCTCGTCAGGGTCGTCGCCTCATTTACGCTCACGGCGGTTAGGACATATTGCATATTCTCTGGAAGGCGATTCTTCCAGATCGCCAACACGAAGTCGTCCGAGACCGACTTGGGGACGAGCTTCCTCAGGTCCCAATAGAACTGGGACGGCGTCCTATCGCCAATTTTTTCGTTGTCGACCAACTTTTGTATTCTCGTACTGTCCGAATCGGTGAATTTTTTAATAAGTTCTCTTTTCAGCCATTCATATCGTCCTGTCGACGGCAGATCGCCAAATCTGTCAAGAACTTGGTCTAAATATTGTAACTCGATGTTCGCGACAGTCATAGAAAATTTTTTCTCGTCGCCAGTAATGCGAGCGAGCTCGAACTGGTTTTCTAACAAGACGAACCATAGCTCGATTTTTTGGGGCCAGAATGGCGGAGCGCATACGGAAAATACGGATCCCACAGTGTCCGTGGCATCCGTCGCGCTAACTTCTTTGTTGGCACTTGTTATTTCAACCACAGCACGTTCACCACTGTCGTCTTCCATCGCGTGTCGGGGTCACCACTTTGAATGTGCAATAACAAGATATATCGAAACAAGTGTATGTTCAGAGATGGTGTATGCCGATTTTGATCGTCGCTCACTCAGTGCTACAATACCAAAAATAATATCATAGGGAACACGTTCATATATTTATATTAACGAATGTTACCAGAAAAAGTTAACCTTCTTATGTATCTCTAGCTGAAGATTGCAAGAAACGGTAGTAACAATGTAGACCTTGTAACCTGAAACAAGGTTAGTATTCAAAGGCACAATAATATTGATCTCTTCCAGCTTTGAATTTTTTCCGTTTCAACTTGAAACTGAAGTGGATAGGTCGTGATAGGTATTGAACGAGTACTACAGTATAATTAACACTATATTTACTAACAACACTCTCAATGTACACTTTACGTAAAACTCGCGATTGCACTTAGCGGCTCGCGGTTGTAAGTTCGACCTCTAGACGATGCGTTACGATAGCGATTCAGCAGAGTTCGGATGATGATTGCTCAAGATGCGTCGAGGTACTCTAGTCAACTATCGACTGACTAGTCGACTAGTCAACTGACTTTCCGTCAAGATGATGCTGCAGAGGGAAACCATGATGGGGTGTGTGTCTAAGGATACGAGATCGTCGGATTCGTCGAGGAAAACCTTCGTTAGAAAAATGTAGGGAAATGGACGTTGCTGTTTATTGGTTAATCTCTAGGTTGATGGTTGAGGAAGGATGCTAACCGCTCTCGAGAGAAAATTGCCAGCGGGAAGCATCGTACCTGAGAAAAAGCAGATTTCCCGTATCTTTCCATAGTTAATAGAAGGTAATAGAAGATTTAGGGAATGCTAAGACAAAGACTATTTGTTCGTTTGAAGAACCTTTGCTAGAGAAATCCAAAGATTTATAGCAGGTACTTAGGCTAGTTAAAAATATGCTATGAAGATGTTTCGACATCATTGGCAATCATCTTGTCCGAAGAATAGGGTCCGTTGAAATGCTCGCTATCGAGTGCCGCTACGAAACTTCTTCCACGACTATGGGCCGCTACAAGGTGAAAGATCCGTAAGACGAAATGACGAATTTATTATTTTCTACGTTTGAGCATATAATTATGTAATATCGTGATATAATATGTGTGTTTAGAAAGGAATGGAAGATAGAAAAGACGATTGTTGTTCTAACTGAACTATTCACGCCAAACGTACAGAAAGCAGCACAACTAGATGATTAGAATACGACTCGACTCTCACAACGCAAGCTAAACAATGCAACTAGAAAGCTATCCAGAACCTTGAAAAACTATAAAAACGACTGTTTCCATAAATACCTCGCCAGCTTATCCCTCACAGCCGACACCAACTACTCACTATGGAAGGCCTCCAGGTAACTCACAAATAATCCCACCTATCCGCCGTCCGCAAGGTGGATGGGCGCGAAGCCCTATAGAAAAAGCCGACCTGTTTGCAGAACACCTGTCAAAAGTATTCAAACCCCATTCCCCCAAAGCCGCCGCGGCCGCCAC